GTTGTAGTAAAAAAGCAGCCACTAATAATTCTAGTCAATAGCAATTTGTTTCCCGGACATTTAGCAGCCAATTTTTATGTAAAATTGAATCAGGTCTCGCATATATTTCACAACTATAGTTGTGAAAAAGCAGCCACTAATAACTCGCGTCTACTTCATTTAACAGTCAACTCATATGTAATATTGTCCGCTAAATCCAAAAAGACCATAGTATTTGAAAAATTGACTGTATTTAAAAAACTTTTATAACTTTTGACCGCATTTTCAGATTCAGCAGACAATTTTACATAAAAATTGGCTGCTAAATATCCGGTCACCTGATGCATGTGGGCATAGCCGTTGGCACTTGTTTACTGCCTAAATATTGAATAGGCACTACTGCATTGCCAAACGTGTTAAACTTTTCCTGATGTGTGGTACCATTACGCAAATTGCTATAACTTACAAGTTGTTGACTTATTCATTTTAGATATTACCAACGTAATTTTAAAAAATCAGGACATATTTTTTTTAAATATTTTTGAAAATACTGGAAAATCTTTAATTTTACAATTTTTTTCTTATCAATTTTAAAATTTTAATAATATACAAAGCAAATATATTATTTTTTTATTATTAAAAATAAATTTTGCCACCGCCACTGCAAGAATCTATAGACGCATTCCTGCGTATCTTCGCTCGAAAAAAGTTCAACGTGAAATAGGTACAAGGAAATGTGCAGAGCTGCGCGCGGATTTTGTATGGTTCTATTGTCAACGCTTAAGAAATTCTTCTTCCAATAAAAAATATGAATGTTACGTTTTTACGCTTTTATATGTTTCCGTTGCAATGTACAATAATATCGGTAGATGTGTACACTGTACACCGATATTATATCGGGGTTACGTTGTCGACTTGCCGCATCTGCTACTGCAGTGCATCAGGTGGCACAGAGATGGTACCCAACCACCGGTCTTTCCTTTTAGAGAAGGAGAACCTAAATGCCTCATTTCATCAAAACGAAACCTGTCGATCGACAACGCTGTTCCAATTATAAGCAGTGTTGCCGTCTGTTGAGAAATGTTTGAAGGATGGGTATTTAATATGTTTTATTTATTGCCTTTATTTTTTGTATATAATTTTTTTATACAGATTGATTGAATTGTTGCTTATTAGAAAATAACACAATTACAAAAGCTCACATAAAAACTTCTTGTAATAAAATACACTGTTTAAAATATCTGTGGTGTAAAGGGTAATATTAAAATGGTGTCTAAATCCAACACCAAGTGGTGTTAATATAAACACCATGAATTATGGTTGAAATATACAGCCATCACCAAAACGGTGTATCTAAAAATATTTGAGAAGTGCACCTATACAGAAAAAAAGGATTAGTTAATTTAACTATATTAATTTAGTTGACCCATAAGTATTTATTGAAATCAACTGTGGGAAGGTTAATATAAACAAAGATTAGTTCGACAGTTCCAAACCAGATAGTTATTTTTTTTTAAATTGGTTAAATTAACCCAGAAAACTTTAGTGAAACCAATTCGCTGTATGGATCAGTTTACTAAATATGTTGTTTGTAAAATAAGAGTTACTTCAACCTAAAGCACTCTGTTAAGACGATTAAAACCATTTGCCGTGCATTCCTGGTTGCATAGTATGTACCGATCGCGGCAAAGGCGGTGTGGATCACGTGATGTTCTTAAATCTCGCCTCTGTTGACTTACATGAAGAGTATATAAGCTCAGGTAGTCCTTTGCTTTGGTGTGACACTATAAGTTGTTCGATACTAAAGAGAACATAGCTTTTTAGTCGCTAAAAAAACTATTTGTATCGATGGTTTTTGCTGGGGTTTAAAAATTTTTGGAAAAATTGAGGCTGTGAACAAAAAAGTTTTTTTCTAACAAAAAAACGAAAAAAACGGGATATTTTTAGAAAAATTGACTTTTAATTTTATTCAAAATACGAAAAAGATGCAAGAGTCCATTTATCTAAAAAAAAAATTTTAATTTATACGGATAATATCAGTACATGTACTGTATATCGAGAAAAAAATGAATTTTTGATTTTGATTACAATCATAATATTATATTATAATAATAATAATTATTCATATTATTTTAATTCAGTGAGAATAATTATAATAATTATGTTAATATATTAACATAATTATCGTTATAAATATATATTTCACACATTGATTTATAAAATTATAATTTCGTTTATTTTCTTATAAGATAAATCGATTAAATTCAATTTATTGTTTACTTTTATTTATTTTTTCTGTAATACAGGATTTTTCTAAATTAAAATAATGTTAATTAACTTTACTTTGAGTTCGGTAAAGTTGTTAAATTCTATTTTTATTAAAAATATTTAATTTTTCCAAAAAAAGACAATTTTTCAAGGCTCGGTTTTTTTCTACCCTTTTAAACCCTACTTAGTTCATATAACTTTCACAAACAATTGGCAACTAAAAAACGACAAATTTAGCATTTCCTAACTTTTAATTAATACATTTTTACACGCTTTGGTAAGGAAAAGGCAAAAACTGAATAAAAGCGACAAAATATATTTTTTCATAGCTAATTAGCGACTAAAAACGCAAATTTAGAACTACCTAACTTTTCATTTTCATACATTTTTACTCGAGTGCTTTGCAGACCATATAAGTTAGCAAAAACTAATGAAAGAAAAAAACTAACTAGCTACCAAAATGCGGCTAATTCTTACACAGTAAAAAACAATTTGGTACACACAACTTTATGTTAAGTTTACAACCAACTGTAATCTGTTATCTAATTGAATAAGTAGTTTGTAATTATAGCAAACATTTTGTAGATTTAATAACAAAATCCTATTTTGCCACCTTTTTGTAGACCAACAAAGGTATTTGATGTAAATTGGGAACTTAAATGAAAAAACTTTTGATAAGAAATCTTGCTTTATTAATCAATTTCCTAAACAAAAAAATTAAGACATACAAATAAATAAACACCAAAATAACAGTCATGCAATTAAATAACACACCTGAAATCATCAAATTATAAAGAAATTTGGTACAATATAATTAAGTACAACTACAACACTTACTAATGTATTTCGTAACTTGAACCCACTTCACTGTATCCCTTAATTTCAGTTTGAAAACCAGTGATGGCATCTTTTTCCGAATACTTTGCACTTCGTATACTCGTTAAGAAATCCGAATAAAAATAATAACAGATTTCCGGTAATATATTATAAACACTATGGACAGTTTTTACGAATACGTAACAAATTAGAATAAAGTATGCAGAAACATAAGTTGCAGACGCTGAAGTCAGTTGAACATGTTGAACATATGTTAATGCATATTGTCAGTGGAAACTGTTTTGATTGACTGCCTAAAATCATTACCTTTACAAAACTTTAAAGTATAAATATGTAAAAAAATTTCCTGTGTTAAAATTATTACAAACCCTGGTTTTCTACAAAAAATTATGTTACAAAATAAAATTAACAAAATACAAACTACTGTTAACAAATCTGAGTTTTATACCATTGTCAGTGTAATTTTCAAAATTGTTTTTCTAAGTTTATGGACATCATTGTAACTGTCTAAAAATGCCCAGAAAAAATCTTAAGTTTCTTTAAACTGTCTAAAATGATTTAGAAAGTATTACTTATAATAATTATTATTATTATTATTATTATTTTTTATATTTGGAAATGTCTAAATATCCCAAACTAAAACTTAAATTTCTCAAATGATCCAAAAATGGAATAAAATGGTTTTATAACTAACTTAAAGAATTGTCCTAAATATAAATAAATTAAATATGATTATAAATTATCGTAAATTATTAAATAAATTTTATTTTAACATTAACGTTTATCCCGGCGCATTCGCCATTTTTAACATCATTTTCTTTCAGATTTCTGTCAAATATGAGATAATATTGAGACTATTCTACAGGTAAGTTCATTTAAAATTATACATAAAAGGGTCTAATATTAAATTTTTTTTCTTTTTAAGTTCGATCACATTAAATGTATAAATGTATAAATTTTATAAAAAATGTTCGTCAAAATCCTAGTCCAGTTTAAATGTTGAGTAAAAATATTATATATAAATGTATAAATTTTATAAAAAATGTTCGTGAAAATCCGAGTCCAGTTTAAATGTTGAGTAAAAATATTATGCCTTATATTATTGCCTATTATATAATATTACTAAGTACCTACGTACATTTTTTTTTTTAAGGAAATACTTTAATACCGTATTTTTTTTATTTCTAAAAATTTCCTTAAATGGACTTTGCTGGGTTTAATATTATACCCCTGACATGTAATTACACACACACACACATATTTTTACAAGATTTTAAATATTTTTAGAAGCAAAAGGAAGAAAAAAATATTTTATATGGCCAAAACGATATTTTTTTCCAGCAACACGGTTTTCGAACCAAAAGATCTTCTTTTAAAGAATAAAAATAAAAAATATATACTTAGTTAATTTCTTATAACCCGGCGAATTTTTAAAAATAATTAATTACTTTTAAAGATGTATTATTTAAAGCAACAAGTTTTTTGTTTTTTTTATTTTTAAATTGTTAATTTCGTGTAGCTTGGTAGATCAAATACGGCCAAAGCGATATTTTTTAATCCAGGTTAAGCCTATACTAATACATATATATATATATATATTTTAATACCTACTATGAAAAAGGTGCACAATTATTTTTTTATATAAATTTTCGGCCTATTACCGAGATATTACCGAGAACCGGGTGAAGAGATAAAAAGTTCGGGAAAGTTACTTTGTCAGTGGCCACTGAACAAATTTCCGCCTTTAAAAATTTGCCTAGCTAGCATATTTAGAAATCCGCCACTGTATTAAATATATAGTAGATAAAATTTATAATAACCTTGTATACATATATATAATATAATATATTCTATTATATATAATATATTATATGAAATCCATGACTTATAGAAAATTTTACACTGAGAACGTTTAACGTAGAGATAAATAAAATCGATACTAAGGCGCCACAGTCATAACACTACGTAGATTCGTTTTCTTGTTTTATGCTTAGTTCATTTTGTGCACTGGGGATAACAACAATAATTTTAATTGTTTAAATGGATAAGCCACAGGTCAACGATGAAAACGCCCCCAAAAGTAACTTTGTTAAACTATTTTTATTACTGTTATTTTTAATTTAAAAATGTATTTTTAATTAGGTAATAGGGAGTCTTATCCCCCTTCCTATGCGTCGGTAGTAACCAATCAACCAACACCTGGTAAGTAACCTACGTACATATGTAAACATGTTTATGTTGTTTGTTATTTTTGCTAAATTTAAACCAAGAGTGTTTTATACATGTCCAAGGCCATGATGAATCAATGAAGGCAGGGCCGGGTTCAGACTGTAAGAAGTATACACAATTTTGTTTAATGTAAACATGTAACCTTATAAGGTAGGGCGGTGTAAGAAAGCGCATTTTTTACTGCTATGATTTTGTGTGAATACCTCTAAAAACATTATTTTAGGCTTTGAACCAACTGTTTATACACATTTGACATCGCCTATGGCTGGAATTGACATACTAAGAAATTTAGATTATTTATCAATAGAACGATCAGCCAGTATAAGACAAGGTAATATTAAAATATAGCAAACTTTTATATATGTTGCTTTACATTTGTGTTCCATAAGAAGTTTATGGGGAAAGGAAAAAGATATCGATTTGAAATTTAAAAAGCGTTTATAATCCATTTAAGCCTTTTACCTAAAATATTTTAAAGAAAATGCCACTTCTGGTTAAACCGGAAGTGACATAAACTTTTTTATTTCACATAGAACACCCCATATATTTTTACAGTATAGGAAATAGTTACATTGATCGAAAGGTTTTTTAATTTTCAATTTGATTATGTAAAAACACACAACCCGGTTGCATTTAAAATAAAAAATCTTTTAACTTTTGAGTTGAGTTTTCTTAGGTAATTTGTTGAAAACTGTTAAAGAATTAACAAAGAATCTTTCCTCGACTCGGGGAACCACCAAATTGTAAATGATCTCGATATTGCACGATCGCAAAAATTTTGAGATTCACGGGTAATTGTTGATACCTTTAGAAATAAAATGCTTTTAAAAATATATAAATATATGGAATATTCTATTTGAAATAACTAAGTTTATGTCTCTTTCGGTTAAACCGGAAGTTTAAAATATTTTAGAAAAATAGACCTAAATGGATTATTATCTAAATTATTATCTAAATCGATATCTTTTTTTGTTCCCTTAAAACTTCTAAAGGACCACGAATGTGAAACACCCTACCATAACACCACCACAACTGAACCATAACTAAAAATCTTTTAATTTTTTATCCCGGTTTATTTAGCTTTTCAAGACAACTTTATGATGGAACGTTACAAAATTTTGGACAACCAATCACAAGTTTTGTATAAAGTTCAAAGAAAATTAAAACTTGAATTTATTTGCAGACAGTATACTTTTCAATGTTTAGATCAGTACGAAAATGATGTTTTACATTTGGAAAGAAATATTTATGTGAGAGGTGTTTTTTTAGTTGATCAGGTAGGTAAAAATTTTGCTGTATATTATGTTTGAAGGTTTTTAACAATTTATCAAAAAAAAAAATTATTAGTGATGCAAAGGAAGTATCATAACCGAAGCAAAATCGGAAACAGATGTCAAAAGTAAATTTTTGCGGAAGCGAAATAAAGGCGGATGTATAAATACTAAAAAAATATTATATTTGTATTTAAATTAATATTTAAAATGTTATAAAGACACGTTATATTTAATAAACAGTGTGCTGAAGCAATGGTCTGTTGCAACACTAAAAATTATATTAAAATAAATATTGGGAACAAAACTGTCATACGAATAGCATTATTCAGATGTGACCCATCACCTATCCTCCAACAAGGTAAACCACTGATTTTTTGAAATAAAAAATTCCAAGGGTGGTCATACGCAACGCGTGGCTAAGAGAAATTTCTTATTGAGTTTGATTATGTAATTTAAAACATTTATATATTAATGCCTAGACAAGCTATAAGCTTATTGGAGTGTATATAATAATAATAATAATAATAATAATGTATTTATTTGCCCAACATATTAGGGTGCTTTTTTTCACGATTATTTTTATTTTTTCGCTCCCAACTCAAAATCTTGTTGAAAATGTTCAAAAAAAATCCCTGAAAATTTGAGCCCTTAATATTAACTTAAAGTACTCTACCAAAGCGTATAAAGATTTCCAATTTAAAATACACGTATACGTATAGATTTATAAATCTATTTTTTTTAAATATCTATATCTCAGCCGCATGTTATGCTATTGGATTGTTTTAAAAATTAAATTAATCGTAATCAAAAGTTCTACAAAAATGCTTTATGTACCATAGCTGTAATCTGCACCTGTAGGATACGGGTACGGGTAACTAAATCTTATTTTAGTGAAAAATTCTCATATTTTTGAAGATATTTCAAAAGTGACTGAATTCTTTGAAAAAATGTAAAGGACAAACTTGTGGAAAATTTAATTTTCTTTAAAAAAGGTCTTATCAGTTGAATCGTTAAGATTGATATTTGTTGAGATATAAAGCGTTTACATTGAGAATTTATGTAATTTTTAGGATTTTCGTACCAAACTTTTTGTAATGATTTTCAATTGTTTATCAGTACAATTTCATCTAATTACGTTTTTTCTACAGTCAAATGATTCGAGAAAAATAAATAACTCAAACAATCAAGCATAATTATTAATATCATAACTTTAAAGAGAAAATATGCAAGTTTTAACAAATTAAATGAGAAGTTTTAATTGTTAATACATTTTTAGGACATAAAGGTGATTATCCCTCCAAATATCCACTTGGGTACCATAGAATGGGCCAGAATGGGCATTTTCAGTCCTCAGTTTTCTGTAAAAGACGCCCAAGGAAATTTGCTTTTCCTCATTATCGGTCAATTGGACTGTTCGTGCTGCGCGCGCATAGTTTTCACTATTCAAGAAAATGAAGCACCTATTGGAAAAATACAATACAAAAATATGTATGAAACAGAATGCCAATTTCCTGTACATTTGACAACAGTGCAAAAAGCGCTTTTGTGTGGGGCAACAATGTTGATTGTAAGTATTATTTTATATAAAAAAAAGTTTTACAAATAATTGTATCAAATTTTTTTAGAAAGATGTTATTTTCGAAAGAAAATGAAGACATTAATATCATTATCCATATATATCCATATCCATATATATAACTATAGTTATATATATATATATATAGTTATAAATACATCAGGGCCGTGGGTAGGATTTTCTCATGGGGGGGTTTATCATTAAAATGTTAATTAGGTATATGTATATATATATTTAAAACACTGTCTTATGAGGTTAGCCGAAGAATTTTTTTGCTATTGGCCAATTGTGAAAAAATCGCTTGGTTGTGTTATTATTCCAACTGAATTATCAACACCAATACAATAGATATGAACAATTCTTACTGAAGAATCTTTAAAAAGACCAAAAAGCAAATCTAACGTCATCTATGTTAAACCCAACGTTGAAAATCAATAAAACCGTACCTACGAGATAACCCTAATTTTTCCCCCAATGTTGTAAAAATTTTAATAACGAACATTTTTATATATATTTTGTCGCAACTCTATTACAAAATCCCTAAAATTTGCGCAATATTTCTATTCTTCAGGAAAAAGTAAGAATTGTAAGTTTAGTTAAAATTTTAATTTTTGTCAATTTTTGAAGTTTTTGGGTTCCCTTAGCACGAAAAAAAATATTCCAGCTTTGTTACAAAATCCTTGTAAGGCAGTGTAATTGTTGCAAAGTAAACAAACTCATTATTTCATGTATATATATATATATATTAGGGTGTATCAAAAAAATCAACTTTTTCTTTTTCTTTAAATGGTCGGCAAATTCTTTCAGAGGATGTAAACACAAAGACCTCGCCAAAATTTGAGCTTTTAATTTGAAGATTTAGAGGTCTAGGATCGCAACTTTATATTTCCCATTTAAATAACATGGGATTTTTTTTTTAACTTTGAAATTTTATACGTCTGAATCGAATCAATTTATGTCAAGGATCATCTTATATTTTCATAGTAAATTTAACGCAAAAAAGGTCTCCTATCATTTTTCTATAAATTGATTCCTTCCAGAGTTATTCGAGGCCAAAGTTTGATTTCCATCGAATTTTCGCGTTTCTTTAACATTTTTGGTACAATTATCATTATACGGGGGCCAAACTTAAACAGTGCATTATTCGTATAAAAATAACACTTTTTTTGTTTAATAAACATGTATCAAAAAATGCTCCCTAAAGGAGCTACGGCCCCCTGAATAAGAGCTTAAGAGGATAATTTTTTTAACTATTCCTAGAGGGTTGAACATGAACAAATGAATTTTCGGTACTTTGGTAATTTTGACATGCTGAATCTAGATCTATGATCAAAACTGTTAAAATTTAATCATAGGCGTAACATTTGGAGGGGGCTAAGTTACAAAAATAGCCCCAACTTTTTTCTGGGTTAATAATTTAATTTTTTTATGAAATTATGAGAATTTATAGTTTTTTACGAAAAATAGGTACTCTTGATTTGAATTGCTCAGATGCACCATTTTCGAGAAAAATGCATTTATATATAAATTACTCTGCATATTATACACATCTCATATTTTCATTAAAACTTTGTAGTAGGCTTTGGAAAAAAGTGACGTTTTTTTGTTTTTTTACAACACTTCCTATGTTTCAGATATAAATATGTGATTTTTTTACTACATGATGCTAAAAGTTGAAAAAACGAGAAAATTCGATGGAAATCAAACTTTGGCCTCGAATAACTCTGGAAGAAATCAATCTATAGAAAAATTATAAGAGACATTTTTTATAGAGCGTTAAATTTACTATAAAAATCTAAGATGTTTCTTGCTAATTCGATATAGACGTATAAAATTCCAAAGTTGTAACGTGTTAATTTCCATTTTGGTTAATAAAGCTCAAATAATGATCAAAAACATTTATTTAAAGTAAGTAGCTATATACATTTTATTATTACTGTATAAATAATTTTGGGGGACGCACTGTATACAGACATCAAAATCTGAAACGTAAAATAAAGATTAATAATTGTTTTGTTGAATTGTAAATAATTAAATAATGTATTTGTACCTACCTTGTTTGTGTTCGTTTGGTAGTCTCTCGTTGTATCCTGGTGGCACTTCTCATATCGTTTGGGCACAATTTATGTTGGCTTTGTTATTGTCAGTTGGCAACTTGGTAGGAAATCGAATCCATCTTAGCGTTTTTATAAATAGGGCAATATGTAAAGTGGGTTTTGCGCACCCCTACTTAGTCCTGGTCTTCAAATCAAGCGCTTGTGGTTGGCTGGTTTTTAACTTCAGTCAGTATGCAGATTTAAGGTGTGTAGAAAAGTTGAATTCCTGCTCGTCCTGCTTAAGCAAAGTGCTGCCCTGTTTGCGGATTTAAATTAGCCGCTCAGTTATAAACTGGAGTATTACAGGCACCATTGCACTATTAAATTGTGTAGTGTATTGTTTAGTTAGTTATTGTTGAAACACACACACATATCGGATTGTTCCGGATTAAAGCTTACGGGACGCTACCGCTTTCTGGAAATATCCTAAGCATCACCAAGAGCCGACCCACCATCTTTTGGGCCCTGCTTTCCTGCAGACACACTGATCAGATCCAACTAATATTTTGTAACATCGCCCAAATCGTAAGTGAATTATCTTTAAATAATGCGCCACTAATGGCAGCCATTACTCTTTAAGGGCTCTACCCTACCTCGACTTCAACACCTCAAGTAGAGATCTAGATTTCTGCCCTAGACCCATATCTAGGCGTCCTATCCCTAGCCGCCATCGTCAGCCATTACCCGAAGATGCTTCTGGATCTGTCACCAGCCTGGTAACGCGTTCAGATCATCAGCCTGACATTCCCGGCGTCGCGACGTCTTCATTAAGTCTCGAGAAACCCAGAACTGCCACCTATCTGTTAAGTTTCATGTCTTGTGTCGTCCAATATTAGTATATAAATATAACGTACGTTGTCTTGAACCGTTTGTAGCATATATATTATAATCATTATTTCAACTATTGTTCGCCTTACGTGATCACGCATAGGTTAATATCCTTAGACATTAAATATTTATTTACCATTTGTAAAATATTACACTATACAGAGATACTATTTTGTTAATATATATACATTATTTACTAAATCTAGTTTCGTGGTTTTATTCTAGTAGTTACATAATTAGCATAGGCTTGTTACGGCAAAATCACGTGGCGCCTAAAATAACATACTTTCATACCCACCCCGTCTTCGACTGAGTGAGGGGCACCGTACCCGGTCTTCGATAGCATTCTGTAAAATCGCCGCGTGTAAAAGTAACGTAATCACCCACGGTGGTTTTAAACGTTACAAAGTTTAAAAAAAAATTCCTATGTTTAATAATTTTAAAATGGGAAATAGAAAATTGCGATCCGCGACCTCTAAATCTTCAAATTTTAACAAGGTCTTTGTTTTGACATCCTCTGAAAGAATTTGCTGACCATTTGAAGAAAAAGAAAAAGTCGATTTTTTTTAAACACCCTAATATATATATAGGGTGTTTCAAAAAAATATATTTTTTTTCCAATGGTGTTGAAAAATTAATAGTACCTACATTAAAAAACAAAAATGTTGGCGCCTATTTGAGCCCTTAATATTAATATTAAGGTTTGCCTCAATTCATTTCTTGTTTTTCCATTTCAATAACACGGGAATTTTTATTTTTTAATTTTGAATTCTTATAACTTTGGAATGGTTTGTTTATACACTGCAATAAGCTTATAGCTTGTCTAGGCATTAATATATTAATGTTTTAAATTACATAATTAAACTCAATAAGAAATTTACCACCCTTGTGATTTTTTTTTTTAGCGCTTAATTCTTAAACATTTTTTTTTAAACATTAGTGGTTTACCTCGTTGGAGGATAGGTGATGGGTCACATCTGAATAATGCTATTCGTATGACAGTATTGATCCCAATATTTATTTTAATATAATTTTTAGTGTTGCAACAGAACATTGCTTCAGCACACTGTTTATTAAATATAACCTGTCTTTATAACATTTTAAATATTAATTTAAATAAAAATATAATATTTTTTTTGTATTTATACATCCGCTTTTATTTCGCTTCCGCAAAAATTTACTTTTGACATCTTCCGCTTTTGCTTCGGTTATGATACTTCCGTTGTATCACTAATAAATTAAAAAAAAAGATTTTTTTTTTGATAAATTGTTAAAAACCTTCAAACATTATATACAGCTTGATTAAAAAAATTTTAGGGGTCGCTCAAGATTTTTTAAAATTTTCAAAATCGTCAAAAATTGAATTTTTGTTTTATTTTAATTTTTTTTCTCGTCTCGATATTATTTTTTTGGTTAAAAATTCTGTAAATTTCAAATCAATATTTTGATTTCTAAAGGTCGCTAAAAGTTCGTTGAAATTTATATTCAGAGGTCGCTCAAAAACATTCAAAATACTTTACTTTGAAAGTTAAAAATATCTTGAGCCACCTTGTGAAATCAAAATATCGATTTGAAATTTTCAGAATCATTATTATTTTTAAATTAAAAAATAATATCGGAACGAGAAAAAAAAATTAAGATAAAAAAAATCCAATTTTTGACGATTTTGGAAATTTTTAAAAATCTTGAGCGACCCCTAAAAAAATTTTAATGGAGCTGATCTTCTGACAGCTGTCATCAATGAAAATGTCAGATTCGAATTCAGCGATGTCAAAACCATAAGTATACCAATTTTCATTTTTTTTTATTGAAAACTGGCGACGTTACAGGACTTTGAATGTGAAAAGAGCCTAATCCCATTTTTCATCCGATTTGCGATTTTACCTACTCCCGAAAAAACGATTAATGAAAAAAAAACGAATTTCAGATTCGGGTTCAGCGGTGTTTGAACTATAAGAAAACCACTCGACAGACTTTTTTCATTGAAAAATCGTGGAGTGGTAAGCCTATAGTGAAAGGCAAAATTTAATCATATTTTAACAATAATTAAATCTTTAACCCTCTTGCGGCACGGGTTAATTAAAAAATAAAAATCTAAAAAAATTACCAAAAATTTTTTTTTCCCAAACTACAACTTTTTGGGGGGTGCGAGCAAAAAAATTCGCACATCGCCCAAATAAC